CTTGGCCGTACTTTTATTACTTGAGAAATTAGAGTTAGGATAGGTTAAACTTGGGTTGTGGTTTTAGGAGGACGGAGGCGCCCATTTTGGCGGCACAAAGTGACCAACAAATCTGACCATTATATACGTAACGAGATGTGTGTGGATCTTGATTGAATGCCACAGTGGAAGAGCCTGAAGAATAAGATTCACTGGGGTGTGTCAATTTCAGAGTCCAATCTGTCAGCTTCCCAAATGCAACTCCCACTCCCTCCCCCGAAGAGAACGTGCACTGCACTGTCCACAAACACAATGATTTTACGGACAGCGGATTCTTTTCTGTCAAGTAATTCTTAATCATAACGCAATACACAAAGATCTCTCACGGTTTATGATTATTTCAGTAAGTTTTTTGGAAAACATCTTTCATGTTATATTTATATTTTATTACATAACTTGGTAGCATACAAAGCGTGAGCAACTTTGCCTATTTAATGAGATGAGATGGCAATGCATGTTTCACGCATTTATGGATTACTGGGGGAAGAAACCACAGTGCATGCTCTTCCAAGGGGGCGTGGCCCTTTATAACTCCAAACTGGTAGTGATATTGTTACACAGTGCGGAGTAGTTCAAGGTTGCTTCTTTGGCTCCGATGAGTCTTAAAAGAATGTCCACTTCTAGACTCAACGTTTTAAATTTTCTTGCACTCACACTGTCACATCTCCTCTTACCTCCCTTCCTCCTCTCTCTCTCTATCTCTACCCCCGACCTGCATAATAACAGAGCCGGAGCTTCTCCTGCCAAATCTCAAACACTCTCAAGCTGGGGATTGCCTGTGGCTGCACTGGTGGGAAGGTCCTGTTGGAGAAGCAGGGCACGTGCAACATATCTGTCAAAGCTAGCTCTGAGCTGCTGTTTATGAGAAGATGCACGTGCTCCCCTTCTCCAACACGATTTCCCTGCCTTGTTCTTCTTCTGTCTGCCTCAGTTATTTGGTGGGTAATTACATAAGTAAGGTTAGCTGTTTCATTTTCTCTGTTTCCTCTCCCTTGATCTGTCCTCGTTACTGTCCAGTAAGGCGTTTTCCCCCCTTTTTGGTTTTTAGAAAACGAAGCCAAGGGTGGAATGTTGCATTGCATGCATTGTGTAAGTTAGAGGGGGGGGGGGGAGACGCTTCATGAGGAGAAACTAACAAAGGCCTTTTGTTTTCGGCCATGAGAAAATAACAGAGCCTAATTTTGCAATGCAAGTGTGGATATTTTGCAGGCTGGATATGGAATGGAGAAGGAAGACGCTGAGTCAGAGTGAGAGGATCTGAACATAACTGAAGAAGCAGAGCAGGGTAATTTGAGCCGTTCTGCACAGGCCAATGCTGTTATTTTTTTCTTATGGCCACTGAATAGTAAATTTCCGGTTCGCATTCCAACAGACACTGTCATTTTGTCGGAGACACCGTTACAAAACACCACAAAGTCAATGAAGTATTCATTATTTTTACTTAGTTTAAGAAGCTCGCGGGACCATGTAACACACTCACAGCACACAAGTTTTTAAAAAAAAAAAAATCACAGACAAGATTTGTGCTTAATAGACTTTCCTTAACCATCTCTCTTGGCTTCAACCAAGCTTATTAGTGTCATTCATCACCTATCTGCCAGCGGCTTATGCTTATATAAACAAGTTAAAGGAGCACTGTGCGTAAAAATAACACGTCAGTGCAGGTGAAGATTAAAGACGAAGTTGTTTTTAAGTTACGCCGAGATGGCCGAGTTTTCACCTTGAATACTCCAGTGCTTCCACCTCTCAACTTCAACTATAAAGTTGACGGCATGACGCAAGCATTAGGAGCGCCCTATATTTATCTGGCCATTTATATCATCCACAGTCCATGCTGAATCTGAATCTTATTTTTCTGACGCCAGCAATATGTTGTTATAATATTTGCTGCTTCCCGAAAGGGGACAGCACTTCAAGTGAGCAATCCTTACAAGTAAAGGAGCCATATTGAAATGTTAGAACCCTTCCTTTGATGGAAAGTGTTGACAATCTCTCTTCCCACTTTTTACCCTCCGTTCTCACGGAACTCCCCTCCCCACTCATTGAGATCTGGTTCTTTGATTACGCATGAAATCGTATATGCTTCAATAATGCACATGTACAACTTTGTCAGACTTAAAACATTATTCTGCATTTTGCCTGAAACATAGTTTCAAAACCCTTTAATGTTCTTTTAATTTTATTTTTAAAAAAAATCAAACTGAAGTGCAGTTTTGACTAAAGCATTTGAAGTGCTTGACTAACCATAATGTGACAGGAAGATGATGTAATGAAATAGTACACGGCCTTAAATTGGTCAGTGCGAGACGGAGAGCTATGAAGGCAATTAGAGAGGATTGAAGCAGAGGAGGATGTCAGAAGAGATGGCGTGAGGATGATGGAGGGAGAGAAGAAAAGGGAGTAGGAGTTTGCCTAAGGAAGTGGGGGACTCTGCAACAATGTGATGCTGTGTGTTTTTTGTGGCGTTGCATATAAGGAAGCTCATTTGCAGGAAGAAGAAGTTGCAGTGTTGGAAATTGAAGTGTGTGTGTGGGAGACAGGAATGGAAGGACCTGCTGCCAAAACTAGATGAACCTTAAAATGCAAGCAATGGTAACTCAGATATTCAAAACAAGACACATCACATGGAATAAATAATCACGTCCCAAACACGCAATACACATATATCAAGGTCGGGACTTGGGGTAAAAGGAAAATGAAAAGGGAGAGATGAAATCAACGGATCTGGATTCTTACACGTCAGTTTTCTTGTTTTGTTTTGGAGCCGGGGGGGATCACAATAACACTACGAGTTTAAAATCTGATTTGCATAGTAATTAGTAAATCACATGGCACACTTTCTTGGTTGGAATTATATAGCATTTTTTTTTTTGCTTGGCCTGAGCCTTGTCCTTCCCCTTGTTTGGCCTTGTAATAAATTTATTTTGATCATAAATATAAATATAGTAATTGAATCTTTTTTATTTTTCTTGTTTAATCTTTTTCTCATATTACTAGTCATTAATATCCCAATTTTTCTCACTCTATTTATGTCCATATTGAATATTATAATTAAAATATATAACAAAAAAGCGACATGTTTTTTATTTTAATAATGATAAATAATCAACTTAATCAGTTTTTTAATCTCCATCAATTAATTAATAAATCAAATTTTTAGTCTCCATCAATTAATTAATTATATACTGTATTTAGTATAAGAAGGAACGTTTGTTTTAGGCATCCCACTCTCTTTTTAATGATTACTTTTGATTTTTAATATAAGAACTAATTGACTAATTTGAGTAAATTAAATAAATTAGTTAAGTTAGTTATTTGTAATAAATGAGTGTTATCTTTTTTAAAATAATCTTGTTAATCAAATATATTAGTTAAAACTATCATCATTATAAAAACTATCTGAGAAAAAATAAATATGAGAAATAAAACAGATTAAAATTTTATATTTAAAATCAAAATAAAAATTAGATAAATTTATATTAAAAACATAAAATAAAATAAGAAACAAGTAAACCGGCTGGGGGAAAAAGCGGGCGGTCGGGAAACAAGAGTGTAAATTGGATACCAGAAATGGAATAAATGTACGTATTGTGCACTTATATTTGTCAGTGAAGTGACAGTGGGAGAGGCTGGGAATTGGTTTCTGGCACAAGTCGAAGGCTTTAAGTTTGGGAAAAGCCAATCTTGCATCAAAACTAGAAAAATCTCAGAATCCGGAACAAATATTTGATGAGGGCCACCTACAAAGATCAAAACATGACTGTATGTCTACATCGACAGCTAGGATCACTGAACGAAAATAGAGATAGGACTGGTAATATCAACCAACCCACAATCCCAACCCGCAAGTTGTGAGTTGACCCATTATGAGTTGAGCTCATGACGGGTCGAGCTGAAAAGACTCATTTGAAGACAAGCCAAGACGGATTGGTGGGTTGACTCGTCAACTTTGTCAAGCCTTGAGGAGGCCTGGCACCTGACAGATTGCATAAAAAAAAAAAAACCATGAGAATCGCCACCAAGCCCCAGGCTATAGAACAGTTAACGTTGATAGAACGAATAGAAAAGTCTTTTTACTCCTGCTAGCTCAACGAAGGCCAAAAAACAGAGAATCAGAATTAGAGCTAGTAATATGTGTTGGATCCGTAAGTTCAACCTGCCAACCCGTCAAAAATAACAAGTTAAGACTAGCTAAAAACCAACCTACCAGTAAATGAATCTTTTCAACTCGCACTGCCAGGCCCGCAATCCGTTACGGGTTAGCCCGCGATTTATTTTTTTATTTTTTAAATTATTATAATTGTGTTATTATATCTAAAAAATTTTAAAAAATACCTATATACTTTATTTGGTACTTCCAATCAAATATTTTAAGAAAAAAAATAAAAATCTCATTATATTATTTTAAATATTGAATAAGAAAAAATATATTAAAAGATAAAAATTAAAAATAATAATAATAATTGTTGGCGGGTTAACCCACCAAACAGGTTAGACTTGGCTAAAAGCCAATCTGCTTTCAAACGATACTTTTCAACTCGACCCATATGAGTTGAACCCGCCACAGGCCAACCTGCAACCTCCGGGTTAGCCCGTATTATCACTCCTAAATTCAGAATCCCTTGCTCGCATCAAATTGCACGTTCCAACCCCGAATTTTGATTTCCAACGGCTACAACATATCCGAAAAATTCAAGAAGTATAAAATATGATAGGCTGATGACTTGCCTTCAAAGCAAGCTTAGGGGGTGTTTGGCAATATGAAAACCATGGTTTCAGAAGCACTTTTCTTTCACATATTTACTTCGTAAACTGTAGAAGCACTTCTGAAATCATGATTTCCTTTAATCTCACCGTAACTCACATGACTACATGAGCAGCATGTTAAAGAACCGCAACAAGGTAAGCAAAGACAGGGTCATTTAAAACGATAATGCCCATGGCGGTTACGGTGAATAATAGAACTCTAATATGCTGCAAAACTGCAACGATATATTAACATCCATGGAAACCAGCACAACACAGTCGATCTGTGTTAAATATGGAAGCCTGACAAAAATGTAAGAGCGCTCTTTCCAATCCAATAGTAATGGCAAAATGCAAAATTTTCAATAACCCTCATTGTTAGATAACCTCTGATGTAAAGCAAAGGAACATTCTTTAAGTCATGCAAAATGGAAAGTTAAAAGATCCTCATGTCAATAAGCTCATAAATTTGATTACTCTTCATCCTCTCCCTCGTTCTCAGCAATGTTGAAGTATCTTAGTTCATAAACACTTCTATCTTTGTTAGCGGCAATCACTCTGAGCCAGTCCCTCACATTGTGCTTCTTTAAATATTTCTTTGTCAAATACTTCAAGTACCTGGAATCACGTATAAAAAGAGAAACACTGAAGAAAGTGCGCAACCACTTAAATAGAAATCTGCATGCGTTCTTGTAAATTTATTCTATTCAGATACCAAAATTTTCCAATTTAAAGCATTGAAAACAAGCAACAGAATAATCAGAAGTGTTCAGATGAAGAATTTGTAGAATGAAGATCCACGGCAAACTTCGGCAAATAGAGACGTCCATCTTCGATTTTCAAGAGGATGCGATTTACAGACAAAAAGCCAGTGCAGACTGAGCTTCTAAGGGCAAAACATTGAATTACAGCTCTATGGAGCGTGCTAAGCTCTACACAACTCGATGCATCACCTGTTTCAGCATGCACACCTTGATATTCCAAAAACACCAATGAATAATAAAACCACAAAATTTCATGCTGACTCATTATTCACACCAGACAAGCATAAAGTTATCACATGAAGGAATTGAGATGGTCGGAGATTCAAACACATAACATTACAAGAAGTATGCACAAGGACTAACGTAAGAGCGTGCATATCAAATTCTGATAATAAAAGGTTTGTTTTATAATTAATTGATTGGATGGCTGAATGCAGGTCCACTTCCAATTAGGCAATAAAAATAGTTATCTCAGCACGACTCCTCATATAAGCTAAATTTTCAGAGAATAGATGTCATCTCGACGGAAACTACACAATCACTTTCCAATTTTAAAATTTTAATAATGTGAATATCATTGGATTAAATTAAATTACCGCTTTGAAAAGTTACTGTCAGAGGTAACAGTAATCTTGTTCTTCTCACGGGCAACTGTAACAGTGTCACCAAGAGCACCAGCCTTGCCACCGACTTTAATCCTCTCCTGAAGAAATTTTTCCAGAGATGCAATGTCCATAATCTTGTCCTCCACTGGCTTGGAACAATCAATGGTGAAAGTAGCCCCTTTCTTTTTCCCCTTGGGAGCAGCTGCACCTCGTCGACTCATTTTTCTTTTGAACTTCAGCGCCCCTCACAATAAAGACATTTTTTTTTCTCAATATACTACATAAAAAATGTACCAAATACGATAGTGCACTAATTTCTGCATTTATATGCCACACTCTTTGAACTCAGGGGCACGGTCATCAAGTTTAAAAGATTTTTGCTTCAAACTCAGTAGCAATGCTACAAATTTCTTTTTCTTTCTATTCGCAAGACAATTTTAATGATCCGCGCAAGCCAGAATGCAAAATATAGAGTTTGAAATTCACATAACGAGAGCTTTCTTTTCTTTTTGTGTCTGTCGTCCAGCTGGAGGCACAATAGATTGAAGCAAGGATCTTCAAACTTGCGTGACAATGCCTCCCAGTTCGAAGAAGAAAAAAACTTAGTAGTGGCAGACTTGCAGTACCACAGAATTAAGATAACTGTCATGTCAAATCGGAAGGAAATGAGGGAGAAAGTGCTTCGTCCAACTGATTCATTATCTGCATTCTACTTGAAATTGGACCGAATATTCGTAAGGCAAGCAGGTTCACATCGCAAATCTAGTGATTAAATCTGGAAAACTAAGACCGTGTGATGAGCTTCTTGCCGCTTCTAAATCAAAGCAGGCATGAAGGGAAAATGAAGTAAAAAGTTTCCGCTTTTCAGTTGTTATCAGCGAAATCAAGAAGAAAACAGAGAAAGAGTTCCATCGACTTACCACTCGCCAAAACAAAGAGAGAAGCCTAAGCGGGAGATTGGCGGCTGGGAGGAAAGCTCTCGATCGCAAGGTTGGAAAAATTTAGGGTTTTAATTTTAACTGATCTTATGGGGGGTTAGGAGTCCGTAGAATTGCGTAACATGCGGCTGGCAAAAGAGGAAAAAAAAAACCTTGAAATAATAATTTGGGTTTGTTGTTGTTGTTATTTCATTTGGGCCAACGATTCGTCTTGTTATTTAAACGTCAATTTTAATCTTAATTTCATTTAAAGGTTAAGTTTATTTTAGCAACTGAGTTTCATTTGAAATTTAGATATTTTATCTGCAATTAAATTTTTAAACTTACCATTGTCGCAACATTTTTTTTTCTTTTGAATTTTATTATCAACCTCCCTAATTCTTTTGAATTTTATTATCAACCTCCCTCATTTTAATGTGACCTTCATGGGATGTGAAAACATTTTTTCTTTATTTCCTATTATTATTATTGTAACATATTTTAATGGTGTTTCTTAATTGACATATTTCTTTATACAAGCAGAGGTAACATTTTTATGTTTTTTGATTCATTTTGGTTCTCAATTCTTGCATGATCCGACTCCTAGCTAAGGAAGAAAACATGCCAAATATTTTATCTTACTCGAGCCGTTGTAATTTGACGATTCCATTGCCTTCTATCGAAGGGATGAATTTCACTCCCCTCCCCTTCTTTGGTCAAGCCAAGTAAAGATACTTCGCTTAGTTAAAATCTATTACTCTTTTTGATTTTTTAAAACAATCAGACCGTCCAAAATCACTCTCCTATCTGCGTTTTTTTCTTTTTTTCATCTCTCCCCTGCCTTCAAATCAAACCAAGTAGGAGAATCCTAAAATCCCTATGGCAAGAAATTCACCTACCTCCCCCTCCTCTCCATAAAATCCCTCATCCTCACACGTCCCCCAAAAAAATTATCAAAATTCCTCCTCCCTTTTCCCATTACTGAACCAAAAACCATGTTAAAACAAAGGGTTAAAGTGTAATTTTAATAACAAAGTTTACCTTGAGGGGCACTGGGCACCATAATGTTTATTTGGGTGCAAAAATATACATGAAGTTGTCAAAAGGGGCATCTGGTACCAGGCTGTTAACATCCGTTAGTTTACCGTCAAAGAGGCTCACGAAATCAGTTAAGGTGCATTTTAACAACAAAATTTATATCAAGAGGCATTAGGCACCATAAAATTTACTTGGGTGTAAAAATATATATAAACTTTTTAAAAGGGAAAAAATAACAAAATTCTTCAACTCCCATAAACGTCCATTAATTTTATTCTTTTGGGTCACACAAAATGCTATATTTTCTCTCCATCAATTTTCACTTCCAAGTGAATCCATCTTTCTCTCATCATAGTTAACAAACACGCTCTCTTTGTTATGTTGTTTTCTTCGCTTCCAAGCTTTCTATACGTATTTATGTAAAACAACACCTTTCCCTTCTAGGATATGAAATTCATTGCTTGCATCCAAGTACTACTTCTAGTCCTTAATATAGGACACAATAGACTAATTTGAGAAGATTAAAAAAATTAAATAAATTACTTTAAAGTATTATATTTATCATTTTTTTTCAAATTAATTTTCTTGGTTTATAAACTAATATATAATCAAATAATACATATAAATATTTTAGAGAAATCATGTACTATATGCTATATTTTCGCACTTGTTTTACTTTCTTAATTATTTTTTTCAAATTTTTCCATTATACTAAAGAGAAGAGGAAGTAACAATGAGTAGAGAGAAAAAATAATATTTAATGGAACCCAATAAAATAAAATTAATAAATGTTTATAAAAGTTGGAGAATTTTATTTTTGTTTTCCCTTTTAGAAAGGTTATGTATATTTTTATACCTAAATAAATTTCATGATGCCTAATGCCCTTTGATGTAAACTTTAATTTTGAAAATACATTTTAAAACTGACTTCGTAGGCCCTTCAAACAGTAAATTAACAGACGTTAACAGCGTGGTGTCAGATGCCCCCTTTCGATAACTTCATGTATATTTCTACACCTAAATAAACTTTATGGTACCCAATGCCCCTTAAAATAAATTTTATTGTTAAAATTACACTTTAACCCTAAAACAGATCTCCCAAGACTATAAAGCTTTGTAATCTACTACAATTTTTTTTTCCCCGATGAATCCACGTACAGTTTTTTAATGCTACCAACACGTGCAATAGAGTGAGCAATTAAGTGCAATCCGTTCCAACGAGATTAGAATCCTTTCAATTCCAACAAAAACACTTCCACCTGCTCCGCTGAATGCCAGCACATCAATTCACTACATCTATCGTACTAAATGAGTTGTTTCATTTTTTTTTTCAAAAAAAAAAAAACGTCAAATTGCTATCATGCTATCAAAGACGCATATGGAAATATCAATTTGTATAAGGCACCCGCGCAAAAACAACCCGGAAAACTGTGATGGGCTGGCTGCGGCTACAATCAGATTTATTACTTAGAATTCATTCGAAAACCAATGTGCCATACTGATGTCAGATAAAAGATCAATCAATCCTTCTGTGAGTTGAAACTTTCCATTGGGAGGAATTTCGCATATCTCTCAGCCTTTGCCCCTGTTTTGTGATCGTAGTACTCTACCACTGCAGCTCCAGCCAACGCTGCAAGTGTAAGAGCCTGTGCATGCAACCTGAAAATAGATAATGCATGTAAGAAGATTAGCAAACATGAACTGGGTATTATGACCTAAAATTCAATCCTCCCCCGGGGGGGGGGATCAAAACATGAACGGGAAATTATGCAAGGTCTGGAGAGATAAAAATTGCACAGTGGAAAAGGCAGCTGGTCAACTATTCCAAGCGTAAGAAGTGTGCTGGGCCATTTCAGGGTCTAAAGCCTTTAAGGGCTAGGAAAGAGGAGAGGAGAGAAATGGCAGGGTTAGGTTAAGAGAGAGGGTGAAAAAGACACAGCATAACCAACTTGGCAGAGAGAGGACAGGGGAGAATAGAAGGGAGAGGGCAACTGGATAGCGAGTAGAGAGCTCTACGCTTCCAAACACTAAGAGATTGGTTTGGATTGAGTTTTTACTTTGCTATTTCATGCATTAAAAGCTCACACCAAACCCAGGTTATTTCCTTCATACCAGTCAGATTGAATAAAGGAGCTTAATCCAGGTTTCGTTTGATAAATAACACTGCATTACTATTGATCTCGAACATATTTGGAGGTAGTAGAAGGTATGGTATGCATAAGCATGGAAGGAAGAGTTAAGACCCTAGAGAAGACATTGGAGTCCTTGAATGTAGGTGGCAATGATCAGGGAGTACATGGTGGAAATGAATGAAAAGCACCAGACTCCAGAATAGTCAGAACCAAGTAGGTACTAGCTCATCTAGCCTAGTACAGGTTCCAGGAGAAGAGAAGTCCGCAGCAAGAGCAAAGGAAGGAAGTTAAGCAAAGAAAGGAGCTCCTACCAAAAAAATGCCGCTATTTAAGCTTGGCAGATAAGACCCAAATAAATAGCTATTTCGGGTGAAAAGACATAATAAGCGGGTTAAGGGTTGTGTGAGCTTAGAAAGATGTCGTTCAATAACTGTTGAGAAACGAGGAAAACCAAAATGAAACAATGATCACCGGACAATAAAACAGTTTTTAGACCCTCAAAATCTCAAAGGCCTATCTAATACTAATCCATGTTAGCGATGTTCTTGCACAAGAAGTCTGTGTTTTAAGGGATAGTTATAAACTTGTAAATGTCAAATGCGCCGGAGAGTATAAGGAAGTAGGTGGATAAGGTGGAGGTTTATATCCGAGATTTTTGTAGGCTTTTACAGTGGAACTCGCATAACTTTTTTGAGAGAGGGAAGGGGGTATAGATTGGAACCCAAATCTCAGCGATATTTAATGTCTCGTAAATCTACTCCTACACTTGAATGAAAAAAAAAAAGTGTACAACTTGACACGCTTGATCTTTAGCCAAAATACTGGGCAAGGCATAGAAAAGTGTACAACATGGGTACAAACTAATTTAAACTTCCCTTTACTCAGGTTTTGAAAACACGTATGCAAGAGGGAATCTCTAAGACATGGGATTAGACATATTGCCTTGGTCGCATCGTTAAGGCGAAAATTACCAGCACAAGAACACATATTTTCCACTATATTTAGAGCTAAGAGACCTTCCTAAATGAGATACAAAGGTCGGGGAACAGAATCCCAGCTACCTATTAACAGTCATACGATGAAGACCATATGATGTATTGATTCCAAAGCCTGATGATTCCAAGCCAATAAACCCTAATACTCAGATCATTGTTCCTATCTAGAAATGGAAAGCAGAAATTGGACTTCTTGATACGTCGTTCAAACTAGAAAATGAGATTTGTCAGCAATTTCTATTCCGATAGGCCAATAGGGAGGCTTTATCAGCAAATCAAACACAGCTTTGTCTATGAATGAAGAAAAATGAGAGTACCCCAAATGACAAGCAACCGTAACTTACCTCGCATGAATGATCTTAACGCTGGTTTTCATGTTGGGTCGAGACCAGTTGTATGCAATTGAACCCGCAATACCGCTCAGCCAAAGAGAACCTTGTGGCAATATTCAAAAGAGGGTGAGAAATGTAATACGAAAATAAAGCAACAAAATACCGTACCAGAAGCCTTGAGAATCAAAACGGAAATACTAGATAATGAGAGTAAATGATTTAAAAATATCTTGGTGACTTGGTTGCAGCAAGAGAGAATAGCAGTAAAATCAGCCATAAAACGCGAGGATTAAAATATTTACCCACGGTGCGAAGCTTGTGCTCGACGACCCATTCCCTCAGAGATTCAAATTTAGTCTTGGAATCCGCCATTTTCAGCTGTGAAGGGGTGGAAATCCGGAGGAAGGGAGGATCGGGGCTCGGAGAATTTCGGAGGGGGAAGAAGAATAAGAAGAGAAATCGAAATTTTAAACCTACAAGATGCGTCACCCAAAGAAACATGTGTCGGCGAACGCACGAATATAGGTGGCGTGCGATTGTCTAGTCGTCGCCCCTTGTTTCCGAAAACCGCTCTAATTTCCGTGATCCTTTTTAATAAAAATTTGATTGATTGCAATACCAGTAAAAAGATTTTCGCAAGGCCTGGTCACGATTACTAATACTACCTTCGTTTCTTTCTATAAAAGAGATACAAATGTGTGAATATTGAAAAATCAATTAAATTAATTATTTATAATAGATCTGTGATAATGGTCTTAAATATCTTTTTTGACCATGTTAATAGGAATATTTAGAAACAAATTATAAATATGAAAAATAAATTTGATTGAAATATTATATTTAGATTAAAATAAAAATAAGGGGATATTAAAAGAAATCATGGGTATTTTTTAATCTTAGTGAGAAATTATGGATTGTAGGTATTTGGATAAAATAAGGGAATATCAGAAGAAATCATGGGCTTTTTTTTTTTTTTTTTATCCTAGTAGGAAATCATGGATTGTAGCTACTTGGATCTGGTCAATTTTTTGAGGGTGAATATTATATCTAATCTTTAGAATTGTTTGAAACTAATGATTCTAGTTTTTAAAATTTGACTTCAATTTGATCCTTTTATGAAAATAAAAAGATTGAACAATTTATTATTTCAATGCTTATTTTCCATTTATTAGCATGATCGGTGTTATTAATTTTTAAATAATGATGTTTTGGGAAGATAACTAGTAATAGTAATTAAAACAATCCACGCAGCCACCCATTAGCTTAGACTTTAGACTAGTTTCCATGACCTGCTATTTCCTCATAGAGGTCTATGCATTCCACAGAGAATTCATGTTTCCCACACTAGAATACATTATTGTCATAGTAATTCAACGAATTCACCCCTCAGTATTAATTCGATGATTTGTGCTGTGGCGAGGGAGGTAGAGATGTAGTTCATCCCATGTAATGTCAGCTATTTTGTCATTCTGAAAACGCACAAGTTAAGATTTTAATCTTTTCAGTAATTTTATATATTTTAAGTTTTTAAGTTTCATCATGGATGAAATAAATATTTACATTTAAATAGTTCATTTTTTTAAAAAGAAAACGACACTTTAACTTAGAAATATCAAAATAGCCACTTGAATAAACAAAATCCCGATTTAGCATAAGTGACCAATTTAAGATTTGCAAATTTGCTGAAATGATCATATTACCGTTTTTTTTTTTATTGTTTTCACAAAACTAAATATCCTCACTGGTTAGCCGGTTGCTGGAGCTCCGGTGCTAGCGGGGGTTGTTGGAGCTTAGGTGGCCACTGTCATTGGAGCTCTAGTGACAGGTAGTTTTTTTTTTTTGAAATTTTTTTCAATTTTAATAACACCGTTAACAAGTTTTGCAACACTGTTAACAAGTTTAGTATAGCACTTAATAATAGATTTTTAAAAAAATTAAAAAATAGCATTTTTTACAACTTCAATAATATTGTTGATAGGTTCTATAACTCTGTTAATAAGTTTGATATAGCATTTAACAACAATTTTTTTAAAAAATTCAAAAAGTGACATTTTTACAATTTCAGTAACACAGTTAGTATCATGGTTATAAGAGTTATTAATATCATTACATAATTTATTAACCATGTTATTGAAGTTATAAAAATGCCGCTTTTTAAATTTTTTAGAAAACTTGTTGTTAAATATTATAGCGAACTTGTTAATAGAGTTAAGGAACTTGTGAATAGCATTACGGAAGTTGTAAAAATGATTTTTTTTTTAATTTCTTGAAAAACCTGTTGTTAACTGTTATGTTAAATCTGTTAATAGTGTTACAAAACTTATTAATCGTGTTATTAAAGTTGCAAAAATTTTCAAAAAAATAGTTGTCGGTCGTCAAAGCTGCGACGACGGATTGTCATCACCTAAGCTTCGACGGCTACAGACCGACTAGTGAAGGTATTTGGTTTTTTTAAAAACAATTTAAAAAAAAAGGCAATATGGTCATTTTAGTAAAATTGTAAATCCCAAATTGGTCATTGATATTTAAATTGAGATTTTGCTTATTTAAGTGATCATTTTGAGATTTCTAAGTTTAAGTGTTATTTTGATGTCTTTTTCTCTTTTTTTAAATCATTTCTCTCAGGTAATAGAAAATGAATGACTACTACTAACTAACAACAATTATATTTGGTGAAAGGAGATAACACCTCACAAAATAACAAGTCAAAGTCTATATTGCTATTTAGAAAAAAGGAAATTAATTTACTAATCCTTATAGTTTTATTAGATTTGGAATCAGGTCTTTCTAGTTTTATTGTTTTTATTAGGTCCTTACACTTTATTTCGTCAAAACTTCAAGTCCTTTCATCAAAACACCGTTAATGCACTGCATTAAAACTTACTTTCTCCATTCCTAGTTTGTGGCTCTACCTCTCTCTTGTCTTTTCAGGACCAACAGTGTCTAGTTTGCTTGTAGTTCTCTCCTCTTCCTCTTCCGGCTTTCCACATCCTTTCCACATCCTGCCTTTTTTTATCACTTTCCTCCTTCTCCCCAACCTTCTTTCCTCACTCAACTTTCTATCCATGTCTAAGCCCATATTTTGCTCTGATGTGACGAGTTGCAAAGTTAGATGGGTTAACTATTTTTGACTTGATCTCGAGCAAGGCAACTTCACTTAACAAGAAGATCAGCTCGTCGTTAATATTCACAACCTCCTTGGTAACAGGTCTACCTCTTACTTCATACAATTCAATCCTTCATGCTTTCTCCCCCTTCAAATTTCGTTCTACAATTTCATCTAATACATGATTCTCATCCTAATTTCTTATTCGATCTCTAATTGCCATGAGGTTACTGGGAATTGAACAGACAATGGGATTAAGATCCACATCACTGCAAACTCTGCCGTAGTTTTAATAGATCAACGCTGCTGTTGCACCCACTATTGATAACGTTGATGTCGTCGGCAGCTAAGTTTTGCTTAGTGACTGGCTTCAGTGTCATGGTTGGTCGCAAGTGATGAGAGAGTATTTGTGTTACAAGAGATATAAAGAAAGCAGATAGATGTTAATGCGCGGTGTTAACGGTGTTTTGACAGAAGGATTTGAAGCTTTGGCAAAATAAACTATAAGGATACAATAAAAATAAACTAGAAGGACCTAATTCCAAATTTGATAAAACTATAAGCACTAGCAAATTAATTTTTCCAAAAAAAAAAACAATATCTTTATTATTTCTAATTGAAAGATACCTGCAATTTCAAAAAAAAAAAAAAACACACACACACACAAAAGACTTCTCCGTTTCTGAGCCAGACTACTTTCCCCGTCCAAACCTTTCCCATCTATCCTCTCTAGACTGGGGGTTAAAAAAGTTGAACGGCCTAGATTTATTCACCCCGGGGACTAAGTTCAATCCAAGGATGGACGACCGTGCACGTGGAATCGCCACAGCGTCGCCGTAAATTACTAGAACTCTCTCTGTCCCTCGCCCACGCCTGGAACTAGAACCCTCTGTTCGCCTCTTGCAGAACGCCAGCTCTCGGAGACGCAGACAAATCTCAGCCACGCCTACGCTTTTCTCAGTTTCTGCTCAGGTACGAGTTCTTTTGTCACCATCTACCTCTCTTTCATATAATAGTTTACTTGATTTTATGGCTCATTTTTCACCCAGTTCCTCTGCGCTCCAAAGCCTAAATCATAGGGTACGTAATGCTTCATGTTTATGTGTCGTTGTTTCTGATGTGACTTCGTGTTTTCCTTTAATGGCTTTATCGATTTTTCCGAAAAATTTGTTTTGTATGTCTGCGACATTCAAAGTAAAGCTGCATCTCACCGAGTGGCAGGAGGAATTGAATGGCAGAGGCTGGCTTGAACGCTGAAATTGTTTAAATCTCCATCAAATTGTCATGGAATAATTTTCTTACAAATAGGAATACGGTGGAAATACTTAGTCGCTAACGTCCAAATTTTTCCACCTAGCACTTGAATTGATGTTAAATTCGATTTCCATAATGTTGTTCCGCATTTTTTCAGGGTCACAGTCTTTTATCGATAACGTCTTCCCTCCTCTTTCCCTTCTCTCTGAAATCTCAGTTTGTGATTAATTTCTTTGTAATTTTCCTCACCACTCATGTTTTATAGCTAATGATGGATTGTGCATATGGACTAGGTTGCGTGTGGAAACCTATGTGCCTGAATGTTTTGTAGGATTTAAATGACTACCTGATGAGAATCTATGGGTGTTTGATTGATCTCAGAAAATCGAGTCTACATCACCCCTTAGCCTTTCATGACCGGAGAGGCAGCCGTCAAAGAGGGTTATAATAACTACTAGGGTTTTCATATGTAAAAAGACTCTTGCAGTATAATAATATATGTTATTATAATTACCTCTCACTATTTCCCTATTATGATCAGATCTTGATAGAGAATCATTGACTGCTTGCCTCGCGTATGAACCAACGCTAGTACACGGGCCTCATCTGCACCACGCATAATATTGCAACAAGACTAATTGTTTAAAATACGAGTGAATATTCGCATTAACTAATTAATGCTAATCCGCATAATTACTGAATTTAATAAATTTAGTCTAACATTTTCTTGATATAAAATAAAAAAAGGTTATAATTTTTTATGTTTGTTCAGAAAAAAATGAGTAGCCGGTCCAGTCGCACCATCTATGTTGGCAATCTTCCTGGTGATATTCGCTTGAGAGAAGTTGAGGATCTTTTTTACAAGGTATTTCATTTGCTGAATTTTTTTTTAATGTTTATTAAATTTCATATCTCTTGCTTTGAAATGTTTCCTTGCAATATATGGCTTTAGAATTTTTTTTCCCTTCTGTCTGTGAAGTTATGAAATTTTAGTTTCCCAAAACTCACATATTCCTGCTGAAGCTTTTTCAAGATTAGCATAGTGAAATGGGCATGTTATGTTCAATAAGTAATATTCCTTAGTACCAATCTTCTTCCCCCTTATACCCAGTATTTAGTAGGATTGGTGTTGTATTTAATCTCTGATTATTGTCCTCATCATCCGATTGTAGTATGGTCCCATCGTTGACATCGATTTAAAAATCCCTCCAAGACCACCTGGTTATGCTTTTGTCGAGGTATGTCTGGAATTCTAGATATAAGGAGATGGCAAGGTGTTTTGCAAGTTTTTCCCATCTTTATTCTTGCATATATTGAATGTGTTGTTATGTTGCAGTTTGAAGATCCTCGGGACGCTGACGATGCAATTCATTATCGAGATGGATATAATTTTGATGGTTTTCGTTTGCGGGTTAGCGACATGTGCCTTTTCCTTTATTTTGCCTCTGTATATGTGACGCTACATGACATTTGCAACCCTTTGGTGTCTGTCATTGTAGGTTGAGCTCGCGCATGGTGGGCGGAGGTCTTCATCATCAGCTGATCGCTACAGTACTTATAGTTCTAGAGGTGGTAGCAATGGAGTTTCCAGGCGCTCTGACTATCGCGGTACTTGTTACCTGATCTAGCATTCTTGGTTTTGTATCATAGAAGAAAAACGTTTCTGATGATCATTTTCTTATTGAAGTTATGGTCACTGGGTTGCCTCCATCGGCTTCTTGGCAAGACTTGAAGGTCTGCTTGGTTCTTTGTTCTCATGATTGATTGTCAGTTCTCATATGTTCTATATGACGTATGACTTATGCCTTTGGCATGGATGTATAATGTTTACTGATTGTGAGTGTTCAATGATTCAGGATCACATGCGTAGGGCTGGTGATGTGTGTTTCTCTCAAGTCTTCCGTGAACGTGGTGGTAAGTTAATAAAATATACTGTATTTCACATGCGGCTTTAGTTGTAATATGATTGTTCAACTTTAGTAAGAACGAGAATGTTCTGTTTCCTGAAAATCTATTTTCTGCTAAATTTACAAATGTGTCGTCCCAGTCCGGCTTTACCTAAGGAGAGCTTTCTCAGCAGGTTTTTGGTTTATTTTACATTTGGTTATCATTATAATAAGCACTTTTTTCACTTCACAATGTTTTTCAAAATAATTTAGAAGCTGCTCAAAGTAGCTTGTCAAAATAATAAAAAATAGAGTTAATACCATTGTCAGTTATAGTTTGATCAAATTTTGATTTTGGTTCTTGTAATTTCAAATCTTGGTTTTGATCTTTGTAGTTTAATAATTTTTTAATCCGAGTATAATGAATTGCTCTTATATTTTTAATGAGTTTTGGTTTTGATTCACATGCTTAAACTCAGACCAAGTCCTTATGAAACTATAAGAACTAAAATCAATGATTTGAAACTATAGGCGCCAAAACCAAAATTGGATCAAACTATAAGGACGATAAAAAATTATCAACCCTGAAAAATATGATATGAGCTTTTTAGATTCTGATTATTGTTAAAAGCTTGAGCGGATATCTCAAAGCTGTTGAAAGTGTTATTTCGGGGGAAAAGGTGATCTTTTTCTTTAAACGACAGGCCCCATATTTTCTTATGATTTCAGTTCTGATTGATGTAAGCAGATGACTTTGTATACTATAATTCATAATCATGCTGGCCCTGACCTTGCAAAAGTTGGGTCATGGAGTAGGCTGAAATAGTGACCATTCCTGTGGATTGTAGCTTTTGCCACATCATGTTGGAGATGATTTTTTTGTTGATTTTTTTTTTTAATTTTAAGAATACATTTGTTAGACTCTGTTGAAACTTGTGCAGGCATGACTGGGATAGTAGATTATACAAACTATGATGATATGAAGTATGCTGTAAGTGGTCTGAATTTTAATCTTAATCATAAGGTTTCATATCTGAGCTGGATGTGCCCCGGCAGCTGAGTTTATGACTGGTATCTTTATTGTTGATGCTGTAAACTTTAATGGTATTTGCATGTTTTTAACAGATTAGGAAGCTTGATGACTCAGAATTCCGCAATGCCTTCTCTCGTGCATACATACGGGTATGTAATGGCTTTTTTTTTTTGGCATGTTTTCTAATTGGTTTGTTAGTATGTTGGCACGTTGTAGACCTCCAGTTGGCAACGGAAAAGAGAAGAATGATTGTATGTTCAAGTAAAAATATGTTATATGATAAATAAATGAAAGGGAGTTAGTTAAGGGGTTAGTTAGTTAATTGGCTTTAGGGTCCAGGGTCTTTAAATAAGGTGCAAGAGGACTCTGCTTATGAGATTTTTGGAAGAATGCAGTGAGCCTCTCCCTCTCCCTCTCCCTCTCTCTATTCTCGTTTCTCTTCTACTCTTCTTCCCTCTTCGGGAGACTTTTATATATCAAAATATGTGAGATTTGTATATTTATTTTCATTTGCTTCTCTATCTTGTTATTTTAGGTGAGGGAATATGATCGGCGGAGTTATTCTAGGAGTCCTAGCCGTGATTCAAGGAGAAGCTACTCCAGAAGTCGCAGCCGCAGTCCTTACATGGAACGAAGTCGAAGTCCTAGCTACAGTGACAGGAGTCGAAGGTTCTTTTAATTTCATTGAAGGCTTGAATTAATAGTCTGTGTTTGGTAGTCAGGAGTTTGACCTAATATTCTTGCTTTCCAGCTCGTCTCCAAAGGCAAAACGTTCATGGCGATCATTATCAAGGTCAGTTTCGAACTAACTTGGATAAATATGCAGTTTTGTGCTTGCTGATTTGAAGTAATGAGTTGCTATTTCAATTGGACCCTTTTCTTTCAGAAGGTAAAGAAGTGTGGTACTCCTAATTGATAACTATAAGTATAGGCTCATCAAACTATGTTTATAAATTTTAACCTGCCGACAAGGTTTAGTTATTCCTTTCCCTGATTTACTAGTTCAGCCCTTACTCCTAGGCTGAAGTTTCTTAATCAAAGATGGGATGCAGCATGGCAGGCAGAATCGTGAAGTACTCTCCCTAATCTTTTTTAACGTATTTACCTCCTTTGATCTATTTTATTTTATTTAATTTTTTTTGGGGCGCATAGCTGAGCCATGTTGCTGCTCTTGTAAGTGGACGGACTTACATGAACATTTTTGTGCCGGCTAGGAATGTTTGGTCGCTCTAATCATTGTTTGGCTATTTGATGTTGTACTGTGTCAATCTTTTTGATAGAAGATTAACAGTCTGAAGTGCTGTGATTGGAACTTTGCTATTATGTGTCCCCACCCCATTAAGGAGATTCGTACAAAGGTCTTTTATGGCTTTATTCATACGATCAAGGGTTTTACTTATACTATTGTCGTTATTAATATAGCATGTGTGGGTCTCCCCTTCTTTCTTTAAGTCGAAGTTGAGGGAATATTTCATTTCCCTGTAATTGTCTGAAAGTCGATACTGTAATTCCATCCATCCTTTCTATCTCATAAAACGTAGTGTTGTCCCATGGGCATGTTTGCACAATTCTTCATATGTGCAAAGGTGATCGGGGGATTGTAGGGGGTCACAGGTTGAGCGCAAGCTATACAATGTTCAATAGGGTTGACTTGTTTGTTTTCTAGATGTGGAATTTTACAGCGACCTGGGGACTGCATGTTAGGATCTTGATGGCATGTGGTGCTCAAATGCCTGCAACTTTTTGGTCGAGGTAATATAGTTCTATTGATGAGCACCTCTGGAACACCCTGATGCTGTGACAATTGATAACAGTAATGGTGTATTGATGTTAGGCACGGTGTGCCACTGTTGTAGACTGGATGACTGTAGATGGATGAATTGCAATCTAAAAGGTGGATCCCTGTGAACTAAGTGCTAGTGGTACCATCCATAGCAAATCAGCATTCTTTCAATCCAAAAACTGCTTCAATGCAACCTGCGCTCTAAGTTCTTGGATTGATCTTGTCCTTTCTCTAGGATTTCTCTTATTGTGCTGGCTTTGTTTATATACCTGCTCCTTACTGAGGAATCATGCGCTGCTGGGAATGAATTGTGTAGCAATTGTTGAGACTATAAATAAGAGATACTGTGCTCAAATACTTTTTCCCTTGGCTGCTGCGTAAGACCCGTGCTAGATCAATTTCTTTCCCTTGGTCATGGATTCTGATGTGAAACTGGTAGTGGGCTTGAGGAATAAACATTTTGGTGGGTTATTCTGGATATTAAGCGGATTTGTTTGTTCAAAATTTTGCAGATCTCTGTCAAGATCCAGATCTCCAAATTCATCTGTAAGTGTTCCTTTTTTGGCTTACAATACAATATGTTGTTGATCTTAAAAGAGTGGGGTGAACGTTTGTGACTGTATATTTGATTGACATTTGCATTAATTGTATTCCTTCTGCCAAGCAATAACGTGGGAGGAAAAAGGGAAGAGTGAGAAACACCATAATGGGTGCATTCAAAAAAGAAAGAAAGAAAGAAAGAAACACCATAATAGGCGTAACTGTGTAAGATATATTTAACACGAACTCATTCTGCAACAAGTTTATACATCGTCCTGTTGTACTGTGCAGTCTCCGCGTCACAGGAGTCGCACTTTGAGCAGAAGTCCTAGAAGCTCATCAAAATCTCGTTCACCTTCAGTATGTTTATTGCCCTAAAGCGACTAAAAGAGTCTTAGTTGATTGGCATTCCTAATTTCTACCTTTGTGTTGGGGTCTCCTAACGTCATTCATGTATTTGACAGGTGAGATCTGAGCGTAGCAGATCTGTTGAATCTGGAGATCGTTGATACATTAATGAGCATACTCACTGTAATGCTTCCGTTAATTGATAGGCGGGAACACTATACCTGAGATTCTTTTGTAGAATCCATTGGTTGTAACGCACAATATTGATTAGTGAAATAGAAACATCAGAGGACACTCGATAGGCTCCGTTTCTGATGCCATGATTGGTCTAGTTTTTGTGCTGCGATGCTTAGTATCTACGCTCTGGATTTTCGTATTATTTGTGTATGGGATTCAATGCAGACTGTGAAGATCTGGGTAAAGGTGTGCAATGTGATGATATACAAGGCTGATGACTTGGCTGCGTTGCTGCCGGTGATTGTGTTGTAGGGAACATCGAAATCATTTGTCGAGATTAATTTAGCGCATGAGTTCACAGTTTTGGTTGTATATCAAACTGGCGTTGAGCTTGCCATGTGATATTTAATTTTGAAAACAGTTTTGATGCATCTTTATTGTGATCTATCGAGGAATTTTTTTTTTTTTAAGTCGAGGCATAAATTTATTTTTAATGTTACGCTTTTGAAAGTTCTCGTAAGCAGTACTCATCAGTTCGTGGGAGATCGATGTCGTTTTGAAAATTTAAAATCTTGGCAATAATGTTTCTCACCATTAAAAAGTTGTTGATTGCCAACGTTTTTAACGGTAGGAATAATGTTATGATTTTAGACTTTTAGAGCAATATTAAATTCAAAATAATTCTTGGATATCTAGTGCTGTCAAGTGAAATTTACACCTTTGCTTTTTCTTTTTAATGCAAAATACTTCAAAACAACAGTAACAGATGATTTAATACATCCATTAACTAGTTATGATTTTGGCTCTATCGGCCTCTAATTAGAACTATAAGAAAGATGTTGTGACCTTGCGAGCACACTTATCGTAGATAAGTTTAGCAAACCTCACGAGCACACAAATCGTGGATAAGTTTAGCATGCATGTCTACAAGCACTTGTCAAGGAATAGCCGTGAAAAAATTGTTTTAGTTGCATCATCAATACAAAGTGTTTGCAGGAGCATCGTTATCAAACATAAATATTCAACCGCAAGCTGCTCTAGATTACCGTCACTCGAGACAACGCCCCAGCTCGATTTTTCTGCCCACGAGAAACCATCCTAATCTTATTTTAAACCCTTCGGCAAGGGAGCCAGGGGAAGCCAATGTCCATCACGCTGCCGTGTGTCTACCAGAAAATTCCAGGGCCAGCAGACCCGAAGGCCAAATCATTATGAACATTCCTCAATCATACACAAGTTTTTCACGTTTTCCATAGTGGCAGTCTACTTCATAGGAACAAGGACCTTAAAAGTGCATCACCGATTATGTGAAGGCAATCTCTCCGATCCATTCCTTAATCGAAAACCGCTGGACCTGTTACCAGTGTCTGAGCCGCTGGCAGCATCGTGCTGTGCTCCCCAACCAGAATCCCAATCAGTATGGTTCATTGATGACGAGGGCAAGTGATCTCTTTCCCGAGCATGGAAGGGGCTAGCTATATGGTTTTCTTCCTGAAAATTGCGTCCTGATGAACCAGATGGGATGAAAAAGAAGCCAATTTGGTCCGATGACGTGGTCACTTGTCCTAATTGGGCTGGTCCTCTATTATGACCGTTTGATCTTCGGGTTCCAGAAACAATAGGTACCCGCATGGCGGGTAAGTCAGTTGGCTGATGCTGTTGATAATAGGCCTGGAGAGCCTGAACTCTATCACGGGCCCTAGCGTTGCTTCCAGGATAAGGAGGGATTGTTGATGAAGCGAGAGAGCTACCAGCTCTAGCAGCAGAGCTGCATAATAGACGAATGCAATGTCAATATTTGACCTGACTAAATTTTCCCAAGCAAGAAAAAGAAAAACATATTTCCTCTTTTATAACCTAAATTGATTGTCCACATGTAGTTGCAAGACTGAATATGCAATACAAACTGGCTCACGTGAAGTTACATTCGGTTGGTTAGTATAATCGGTATGGCAAATGCAGTGTTTTTATTTAAACGAATACTGACAATCTTGATTGAAGATGTGTCTACCTGTGGCCGACAAGGAAGGGATGCATAAAAGACCTTGATCTTGGTACGTCTGAACCACCCCTGCCTGGCCTTTGATTAATAGTTGATAATGAGGGTTGATCAAAAGTGCCTACACGGCTGCTGGCCGGAGGAAAAGTAGAGGAATGGTGTTCCCAACTATGATAATGAAGATCCATAGCAGGAAATGTATAGGAGGTTGGCATCTCACTAGGTAAAGATGAGCCATTCCAATGATTGTAGTTAGACGCTTCTGAAACAGTTCCGCCAGAGTTTGATGAGGAGGGATGCACAGGTCCAAAGTAAGCAATATATGGGCATGGATGGCTAGCAGATGATACCGCTGTATGTTCGGCAAACATAGCATGTTGTCCCAGTACATCATGATCTGCATCCCATCATTCCAGTAAAGATGAACATATTCAGTCAAATGCAACTTTAAAACTACAACTGATTAAACTACGTCCAAATGGAAATCGTTGTGGCCATGAAAAGGATCTTACATGCAGTAGACGAAAGGTCTCCTTCCCTGAAAAAAGCAGGAAAAGTAAATAAATAAATTGGAAACCTTTCTACTTTTGGAGCATTCAAAGTGTATAACTGAAAACAGACATTGGATAAGGATGAAACCATAAAAAACAAAGGGTCAACCAGCCTTTCAAAGTAACTCCCAAATTTTAAATGTTGCAGAGCTAGAATGTAACATTAACACAGCCAAAAACCACAATCAACAGAGCTGAAGGCGGTTTTGGGCTCCATAACTGCTTTCAGATTCTACCATATAGAAGTTTTTCAAATTCTGAGTGTGTTTCTCTAATGAAAATATCCTTTAATCTGTATTTCATTTCCCAAAAATCCATATGTAAGATCTTCCCACCAAAACTAAAGAATACCCATTGACTCAAACAGGAAGCCTAACAGTTATTAGAGTGAATATATAAATACCACTATCAATAGAGCTGAAGGCTACAAGCTTAAATAGATGTTAAAAAGAAAGGATTCATGCATGCATAATTTGCTGATTTCATAAGGCTTACTCGAAAGATGAAGGAGGTGGTGCCAAGCTACCAAATGGGCACCAGTGTACTCCAAAAGACTGCAAAAATCATTTAGAAATCAAACTGATAGTCCGATATCAAAATATCAAGTATAATGTCACGTAGAAACAGATAGAAAAGAAAGAGAGCACTCAAATTAGAGGTAGCGATTCACACAATTAACACCCTCTCAAACTACCCATGCATAAAAAAGCCAATTTCACCAAAATGCTCTTGCATAAGTAGCAAGGCAGATAAAGAATGAAACAGCAAGGACTATGGTTCACTTTAAATTGTATGAATTTCACCTAAGCAGGGTCACTGCCAAAACAGGGTTAACAGTAATTGCAGATTGACAGGAAAAAAAATGCATTTACAGTTTTACTTCTAATAGATCGTAAATTATTTGGGCACCCAAAAAAAAAAAACAAAGATTTGCTTGAATAAAATGGTCATATCTTGGTTTCACAGCGCAAGCGTGTATCATCAAAGTAAGTGGGAGGACTCAAGTTTGGACATTGCTCATCTCTCATGGCAGGAGAGGAATTTACTCAAAAAGAAAAACATAGCCCAAAAGACCACATGGCCTAAGTCACGATAATCCGATTACAAAGCTGAAGCATGCTTCTGGCACAATAAAAGAACAAAATGACAAAAATGATTATATGGCCAGAACTTATCTCTTGTAAGCATAAATTACAACACAAACTGAACCAATACCATTTCAGAGTAGCTAAGATCATAAAGGTCCTCATCATGCGCCCAATCATCCATGCTAAATTCTGGATATGACCGACAACCATTAGCATATAGCCACTGACCTTTCTCAATCTTCCGACAATTAGGACATTGCATAGCCCCTTTTACGTTAAATGCTGAACCAATGCAATCTGAATTATTTAAACAAAGTAATCATCAACATAAGAATAAGACAATGCATATGGTTTGTCAAAAGTTCATTATAGAAAAACATGAACGTAATATTGCCTTCACAACATTATTAAGCATCATTAAGTAAAGCACCACTATGGGCCTGCAATATTTCCAAATTTGTTCTGAGCACTCCAAAATCTCACCTAATTCAACAAGAATAATTTATCAATATATCTACTTTCCTTTGGTGACTTTCTTGAGCTCCAAATTAATCCTTCACAAATAACATATTAAATTACAATATACTCTTTCCTCATTCTTATCAATTTACATTGGCAGCAGCAAGTATTTACAGCTAGAGATAGGGCAAGTGAAAATATTTTCCCAATATCCTGCTAAATTTTCAGCAAGGTAGTTGAAATGTCTCAATTTGAGTACCACATACCCAACGAAGTTCAGATTAGTCCCAAACTTCACTCGCACACAATCAAAATTTTTGAATCAATTACTGACGGTACATCTCGAAAATCAATCTCGATGCCTAAAATTGCACCACGGAGCTTGCTTCACTTTATAGAGACAAGCTAGCAAAGCATCTGACATATATAACAAATCAAACTTGTAATTATACATTTCATTGTTCTCAGAAGACATATATTCATATTCCACAAAAACTTCTTGATTATACCTCCCCATTCTTGGCTTGCTCAAAATCACAAAAAGCACCCCATTGAGTAAAAACTATCCGGATGTAGATATGCTGACTTGATAGTGGGTTTGTGGTATTTAACATGTGTTTTATCCATGTTTGGTAAATTACAACCTATGATTGTGGTTATCAGGTTGTGTATTTAATAGGATATTATTCTGTAATTTTGAGTCTTCAATGTTTTGCATCGCAGCTTCGTCCCATGAATACAAAGACTGACATAGGTTAGAACTAGCTAATTACATTTTATTCAAGGGTTTTCTCTCCTTCTGCCTCCGTCTTTCATACATACAATGGGGATTCTACAGCCTGGATCTCGCTCTTAGTTTAATACCTAATAAGGAGGAATGTTGATGAGCATATAAGCACAGAAGAAGTTTATAACAAGCTGGTTTTAATTCCTTCTCATGCTTACAATCCTCGTCCGAAGAAAGTCAAATCAAACCATAATTGTAACACTGCAAATCTAGTTAGGCTGCCTTAGCACGCAGAAATGATCATTACATTCAAACCGGATGTAGCCATTACTAAACAATATAGGAAGACACAGGTTCTGATTCCGTAATATTTTCCATCCCAAGCTCGAATGCACAGATTTTAAAACAGAGAAATAATGGAATTAACTATTCTAGC